ATGTATTTTTCTGTCCTAGAATAAATGAATAATGGACACAGGGCTACAGACAACTTCAAGGGTTTAAAACTTCCTTTTTGATATTATATTACTTAAACAATATTTAATTTATTATCGATCTACATACGTGAAATACGTGCTGTGTTGTTGGCTTCTTCTAAAATATAAATTTAAGTGATTAAACTAAATTTAAAAAACACATTTTTTGTAAGTTGTTCGTTCCTGGAAGCTTTTTGTCGCACTTGGACAGCTGTCGAAGAAAGGAAAAGATGAATAACACCTCTTCAGCTCAACCCGGAAACCAGATCTTCTGTTCTTCTGACTCATCTACTACATTTCTTGCTGTTCTTTCAACAATCAGTCTTTTTGCATTAACTGGGAATTTTATTGTCATTCTAACATTCATCAAGACGGTTAGCCTGAAGACCAGCCACAACTACTTCATTATTAACATGGCGGTATCCGATCTTATCTGTGTTCTCCTTAACTGGCCACTCTATGCCACAGAAGGGATGTTAAAACCTGGCGGAAATCTTTTTACAGAACCTTTAATCGCCTCATTATTTTGCAAGCTTGGGATTTATGTACGAGCCATGTCTTACGTGGTGTCTATTTTGAGCCTGGTCCTCATCGCTGTGGACAGATATATAGCAACCGCATTCCCGCTGAGAGCTTCGCGTATAACTGGAAAGATGCGGACAATTTTACTGACATTATGCTGGTGCCTTCCTACAGCTTTCCTCGCCCCGTATTTGATTCACTCTGAAATTGTTCAAATTGACGAACATGCTTTTTGTAGAAACATGATGGGGCCAACCAAACTGAAAATTTACAGCTTTTTGGGGTTTGTAGTGTTTTATTGTGTGCCCCTTATTTTAATAATTGTTCTGTACTCTCTTATTGTAAAGTATCTACGAAGACGAAAAGAGGAGCAGGATGGAGAAATCAGACATAGCGAAAGATCAAAGAGACTCAGGGAGAAGCAAAACCAAAACATCTTGAAAATCTTTGGGTCAATTGTTCTCGGATTCTTTGCATGCTGGACACCTCTTTATATTTACATGTTTCTAAAATCGCTATATCCATCTATACTTGAAAAGGACAAATGTCTTTTACTTAAACTTGTGGGTATACTTTATTACATATTTCCAGTGCTTAGCACCGCGCTAAATCCATTTATTTTAATAACCTTTAGCTCAAGCTTTCGATTGGCTGTGAAGAGTGAGTGCTATCGTTTATTGTCCTGGAGAAATCATTCCAACCAGTTTGCCCGTGTAAGACCGGATGCTACACAGGGACCAAGTATTGAGCAACTAGAATTTATCAACATATCTAAAAAATAACAATTGATTAATCTCTACGATTAATAATTGTAAATACACATTGAAGACCTGGTTAAAGTGTATGTGACTTTCCCTGACCTATTTAACTCTCTTATTATGTCACTATTTATCTACTGCAATTCCCTGTTTGGGTGTTGCTGTTTATACAAAATATTTGAGTGATATTGATAGGCTACGGAAAAGGTCATTTAGATTTGTGTTTGTATATTCGACAAGTAACGTTTCCCCTTGCAAGAGTAGGGCACTACGTGTCTGGTCGCATCGTCGCCAGCTCCCAATTTCAATACTGAAAGGTTTTAGGAACGCGTTGTATATGTCTATTTGACTTTTAAAAGAATGTCTTTTTGTATTTTCCTAGTCTTAGACAGTTTTGACTTCTATCTGATTGTTACTGAAATCCTAAGTTGAAATGCCTGTTTAAAACCGTCAATACAAATCTTTATTACTAATATTGTTATTATTATCAATATTTTGAGTATCATTATACCTTTATTAGACCGATAAATATATTAAGCAGGTGCAGAAAAGCAGAGCTAATAAAACGAGAAAACTTATTCAGATTTCTCGCCTGGTCTCACGTCTTTACTTTTTCGACATTTGGCGACCAAGATGGCCAAAACGTGTAAACAGAGAGACGTTCTTGAGTTCGCGTACGCCGAAAGCTGAAAGGATGTCACTCGAGCCATGTGTACACTGCTAATATGCCATTACGTACCTCGAGGTCAGATCAAGGGCACCAGAACGCCACTCGAGCATTAGGTTCAGAATTAGTTGTTGATTCGCAACCAACTAAGAGCCCCACCGTTTTTCATTCAGTAGTTTGAAGCCTATATAAATTTAGTAATTGTTAACATTATGAATTGTTATTCACTGATGTGCGATTACGAATCATCAAATGCAGATCTTAGATCTTTATTGAGAGAGCTTTTATCCTCTTATCGTAACTTGATGACTCTGATCTGTGATGAGCAGCCTGAGTCTCAAATTTTCTGATTTCTTAGGCGCGCCCTGTATTGTTCGATCCAATTTATGATAATTTTTCCTTACTTTACAGTCCCAGTTTGCCCTTGAAGCTAACACCGCACTCGCATGACATAAGGTCTTTACCGTAAATGATCTAATGGACGCCCACTTTCAAATAAACACCTCTTATCTAATAAATGCCCCCCTCTAAAATGTTAAGTTTGTATTAGACGCTACTCTCTTTTAAACACCCCCCCACCCCCCCCCCCCCCCCCCCCCCACCCCCACCCCCCCCCCACAACCACTACACACAACAACACAAAACCACAAAAAAAGCAACCACAACTCAATCTCAAATCACCACAAATAAGATTCAACCAGAGTCATTTCCTCACGATGACC